AGATTAATTGAAATTTATCAAAATGTATTGAATTTTAGATAGAATAAAAGTTATTTAAATTTCAATAATATTAAATACAAAATCAAACCAAATAATAGCGATAGAAAAGAGTTAAAAATAGAAAAATTATGAGGTAATTGACAAAAAGGATTTAGAAGGGCATAATTAATACAAACTTATATAAAATAAGAAATCGATTGAAAGTTGCTATAGTGTCAAATAAGTGAAAAAGGAAAACAGAATAAGTAGGTGAAAAAATAAAGAAAGAATCAATTGTTATCAGAAACAAAACATTTAAGCGTTAAAAGCTGCTATAGGTAAGAAAATAAAAATGAAAAAGAGAATAAGTAGGCAAAAATATAAAGACAGAATTGACTGTTACTAAAAAGAAGATACTTAAAAGATACTCAAATAAAAATAAATAAATTTAGCTGTGTGTCGAAAATATAACGTGTCAATTTGGCAGAAGTTTATAATTAACTCAGCAACATACCAAAGTGGGAGCTGAATAGTATTTTATTATATATATATATATATATATATGCACACATACACACACATACATATATATTAGGACACTAGGGTAATTATCTTTAATTTATGGCATTTCTGTATATTTTATAGCATGAGAAAAAAAGAGGATAAATTAATTAAATTAGAGTAGAACCTTCTAATTTATTTACTTTTGGCTCACCAGCTATATATATAAGGTTGAACACTAGGGCAATTATCATTAATTTATGGTGTTTATGTTTATTTTGTAGTATGAGAAAAAAAAGATGGTAATTTAACTAAATCATTGTGGAACTTTCTAATTTGTTTATTTTTGGCTCTCCGGCTATATATATATATATATATATATATATAAGATTAGAATATTAGGGTAATTATCTTTTATTTAGAATGTTTATATTTATCTTGTAGTTTGAGAAAAAAAAAAGAGGGCAAATTAACTAAATCACAATAGACATTTTTAATTTGTTTACTTTTAGCTCTCCAACTTTATTTAGAATTTGCATTGATACTTAATCCAACTTTTTATTTAAATTTTAAAAGAGATAATATGTTTTATGTGTTGTTCACTTACATTTAGGTTTTAGTTTAATTAATAGCCAAAAAAGTTTAACTCACTAATAATTCTTTTTAAAAAATTTACAAGATTTTACTTTTGAGAGATGACTTTAGAGTATGTAGAATCACATCATATATTCAATTCTAAACAAGACTCATTGGCCAACATATAAAAAAAAAATTCCTTGCCTCGCTAAAGATGGAATCACTTTCTTTTTTGAACAAAATGAAGTTGGTTAATTAAACATGTACTTTGTGCAAATTACTTAATGTTTTTATATTCCATGTTCTACAATTAGCTGGCCATTAATTGTAAACTAACTAAGGTATTGGATGATATAACTAATAAAAAATTCAATATTAGTTGATAAAAGCATTAATCCTAAGTTAGACACTCATATATTGTGGCTAAAATAAGTAATTTCAAAGAATTTAACTAATGTATATCAAGTTTTACACTACGAGAATAGGCATATTATTATTATTAGAAGTATATTAGGTATGCTTCCAAAAGTGGGATCACATAAATTAGCAAATAACAACATAACATCGGTCAGAAAGAAAAATTCAATTAGTCGAGTGATTTATTAGCAAAGGTAATTCGAAAATATGAGATCGAGGTGCTTTGTCTTGTTATTTTCACTCTCTCTTGTTTTATGTTGTTTTGTTTAGTTTCATTTACTTACATTGACTAATATTCTAAATAATAAAGAAATTTGATTAAGTAAGTGGATTAATATTTCCGAAGAGGGTTGAGTTAGGTGGTAAGGTAGGAGGGATAATAAGTAGAAGAACTTGGATTCAAAACCTCCTACTTATAAAAATAAATAAATGAATGAATAAAATAAAAAAGTGGATTAATATTCCTTGTGACATGGACAACCGAATTCAACTCATACTCATATATGACCAGTGAACTTACAATTAGAAAAAAAAAAGTGTGCAGTTGTGGCAAATTTTATTTGGTGTCTTTCACTTGTTCTCATTTTCATTTCTTAGTGCATTTTTTATTCTTCTCAAATAATTGTATTTTGAGCAAGTATTAGAGGAATTTTTGGGACTTGGAAAAGGACACTGAAGGAAGCGAAGAAGCAACAAGAGAAGAAAGAGCAAAAATGGATTTGTACTACTTCCAATGCGCCAATGAGAGAGGTGCTAAAAAAACCCTTAGGTATGAATGAAAATGAATTGCGAGGGTATGTTAAATGTTAAATTGAACAAATTAAAGCATATTGATTGAGCAAAATAGAAACTTTTATCTTGTTTTTTCCAATTATATAACTTCTGCTTTGTATGGAAGATATTTTGCTATTTATGAATGTATGAAAGCACTATATACGGATAACTTCAATGAGTTTCAACAATACAATTCTAATTTTGATCAATTTAATGCTACTTGGATGAATTAGGAATCTAGATTATCTATCTAGTGAATTTGAAAACAACCTTGTAAAGCATTGTAAAATTATCATATTTTAAGAGGAAGATGAGTGTAACATAAATTAGAAGACAATGTGACTTTAAAGTTGAACAAAAATGATTCATTTTTAATTATGGATGTAGCTTCTAAAGGCACCATAGATAAATTTAAGTTCTAAAGGCATCATAGATAAAGCCACCATTGTGGGGTCCCATTGGTGAATTCTCAATTGCCGCAAGCCAAAAAGAAATATCTATAAAGAGTTTGAGATAAGTAAAACACTTCAGTCTCTCACTCATTTCGAATATGCGGCCCTTGAAACTAAACCAAGTCCTGAGCAATTGAGGTTGTTAGATACTTCTTGTTTTTCCTCTTTGTAAGATAGCGACAATATTGGATGGAAGAGGTAACTAATACAAAGCTATAGTCAAGAATTTGAACTACCTTGTGATGATTTACCATGACCTAGTGGATTACTCTATGAAGAAGTCTCATTGAATAAGAGAGTATAGTCAAACTAATAACTGTAAAAAACTTATTAGGAGGCACACCAATTTTTAGTTTATGATGTTGGCATGGTTTTGATTTTCTTTATTTCCTTTAAGGAAACTCGGGTTAGGGTTTTTTTTTTTTTTTTGCAAAGAAATGTTGAAGAAGGAATAAAGTATCTCAAAGACAATTTCAAAAATGAATTGTGGCTATGAAGGAGCATTCTCTTTACCTTTATTTGTTTTGTTTATGTTTATGATTTAAAGCTAGAGGTAAAGTACTTTTCTTCATTATTTGAGCAATTTATGTGTGTTAAGTGATGAAGTTTTTGTTACTAAATTGCTTAATTTTTAATTATTGTAGGTAGTTGCATAATTTTCACTAAAAGAGATCTTGTTTTCCTTAAAAAATATATGTATGTTATGTGTTTTCAATTTTTTTCATTTGAAACAAATTGAATGAAATGGAAAATGAAAATGGGTTAAAATGGGACATGGGGCTTTTTATGCGTTTTTAAATTTTTTCCTTTTGTCATTTCAGTTATGAGTTTTAGTCTAGAGAACAAATCTATTCTGGAAGAGTTGTCTTGCAGTTTCGCAATACTACTTGACCTATATGAGACATGGGACCAATGATAGGATTAACAGTTAGGAAGGCAGCCATGGGTCTCATAATATAATTTGATATACATGAGACATGGGGTCAATGGTCGGGGAAATAGCTACAACGGATCGAAATTTTCTTGGATCCAATGCCGAATCCTCATTAAATTGCATCATTAGAATTGAGCCAGCTTCTGGTATCTTTAACTAGGGTGCCGGTTCACCCTTCTTGATCTTTTCCCTTCATCCCATGGTCCAAATGGTTCTAATCATCCCTTGAACGTTGCCGTATTTCTAAAATCTAAAAAATGCACATTTTACTATCAAATTGAATACTTTTGCCTCATTTCCTTAATCGAAAAACTTTAGTACAAAATCAACCAAAATACTTAGTAATCTATCACAAAAAATAAAAAGAATAAAAAAATACATAATTATACAAAACAATATGCAAAACATATATCTGTAGCGTCTATAGCCTATAGGCCAGCCAAATTATGCCGGATTAGATCAACTCTTTTGATGTCTCTCCGAGTGTTTAATCTAACTGTGTGCGTGTATTATTGATCATTTGAGAGAAAAAAAAACTCTTTTGTATAATAATTCACTATTATATTTATGTTTTGCAATGTTATCCTTTTAATGTTCAATTTCCACCGGTATTTTTACTGTATGCATTTGGTAAGCCTTAAGTTTCCAATCCTCAATCTTTTAACTCTCATTACTTGGTTTTTACGAGTTTGTAATGACGTGGAAGTATGCAAAAAAAAAAAAATTGAATATTTTCTCCAATATATATGTATTTGTAAATATACGTGCATACATATTTATGTATGTGTATGTGTATATACAAATGTATATAGATATTTGCATACATGCATAGAAATATGCATACACTCATATATATATATATATATATATATATATATATATACATATATACACACATACGCATGCTCAAACACACTAATGAGGTGTCGGAATATGAATACACTGTGAGAATTTTGGCTTTGTACTCATAAAACTATTGAAATCATCTCACATTACATTTTAATTTTATAATTGCTTGTTATATATTTGTTTAATTATCATTCGCAATAATCATTGATGTGCAATTCTACTAAGTTTTCATATGGGGTAGCAACTTGAAAGTTGCTAATTGAATTAGAAATACTAAAAGCTCAATATTTGAAGTTACGAGTTCTATGATTATGAAAAATTATAACATACTGAATTAGTTTGGATATTATGAATATAAATATGATTATTTTTATAAATCACCTGTCTAATTGTGTTCTTCTACATGATCTTCAACTATAGATTTACTCATCAATTTTGACACTCATAATTTTATTTTTTTTTTCCTCAAACGTTAGATGTCATATTATATATATTCACTTGATAGTACAAGGGCTTAATTACAAAAAAGAAGTCTCAGCCTTCCAGTCATTGTTGGCTGCTTCTACTAACCAAGTTGGGAAGTTGTTTTCCCAATCAATGTCATTAACTAGCTGTGTTGCAAATTTTGCTATCCTATGACTTCCTACATTAGCTGATCTAGACACAAATGAAACTGTGCATTGTTCAAAACCTTTCATTAGGTCCTCAATGTCTTCCTGAACGGTTGCTAAATGATCGTCCTGGACATTGTTGCTGAAAATCATGTCAACTGCTGCTTTACAATCTGACAGCACTTCTATCTTTTCCCATTTCGCTTGTCTTGCCATTTGAAGAGCCATTCTAATAGCTAGTGTTTCTTCCATTAATGCCTGTCCCTGCTTTGACTCCCTTACTCCTTTAGCTCTCAAAATCTCCCATGTCCATTTCCTTGCTATTATCCCCTTTCTCGTTCTGATCAAATTTGAATTTATTGCCGCATCTGTATTGATTCTGATGACTCCTTCCTTTGGTGAATCTCTCATTCTTACTTGCTGGACAGCCCGTTCTTCTCCCACATGTTCCTTGCTTTGTTGTCCTGTAACCTCTTCATATTCAGCCCATTCTTGTTGTGCCTTCCCAATAATCTCTCTTGCCTCTCCTTTTTTTTGTTCAAAATGGGTCCTATTCCTTACTTTCCATATCTGCCAAAGTATGTTGGCAGTTAGGTTGATTCTTTCTTTTCCATATGCCATTATCTCTGCCTGATTCACTGCTTCCCACCATCTCCACATATTATTTTGAAGATCATGCAGTCCTTCCCACCTCACTGGTGCTATTTTCCATACAAATTGAGCTATCGGGCAGTGGAAAAACATGTGCTCCATTGTTTCAACTCCCTCCCCACAGACACTGCAAATTATGTCCCCCTTCCCTGTTCTATTAAAGACAGTCTCTTTGGTAGCTAAACTATTCTGTAGACTCCTCCAAATGAAAAGTTTCAGCTTGTGCTTTAAGTTTAGCTTCCAAAGATGCTTCCATATGCTATGCTTCCTGATTTCCCAACTTGTTTCTTCTCCTCCTCTTGTCTCCTTTCTTATCTTTCAGTACATTTGCATAGGCTGTCTTCACCGTGTACACCCCCGATTTTGAGAAACTCCAGAATAGCCTGTCCTTTCTTTTGAAGCAACTAATTGGCATGCTGAATATCTGAACTATATCCTCTGGATTGAAAATTTGTTGTAGAATTTCTGCATTCCATCTTCCATCTTTAATTAACTGATTTACAGTTTGAATCTGGCAATTTAGAGGACAGCTTGTGGATACCTTGCCTGTACTTGAACCCATAATCCACCTATCCTTCCAATGTTTATCTAACAACCATCTCCTACTATTTTCCACAAACCTCTTTGTACCAGTTTCCATGCACTGTGAATGCTTTTCCACGTCCATGATGCAGATTGGAGGGGATTACTATCTAGAGCATTTGGGGCCTGTAAATACTTAGCTCTGAGCACCTTACTCATCAGTAGATTTGGGGAGGTAATAATTCTCCAAAACTGCTTGGCAAGTAAGGCTTCATTAAATGCTTCCAAATCTCTAAACCCCAGTCCCCCTTTTCCTTTTACTTCTGATAATTTCTCCCAACTTATCCAATGCATATTCCTATCTTGTTGTGAGCTTCCCCGCCAGAAGTTCGCAATACCCTGCATATATCCCTACACAGTCCCTTAGGCAATTTGAAGCAAGCCATAGCATAATTGGGCATCGCTTGGATCACTGATTTAATCAACACTTCCTTTCCAGCTGAGCTCAACATTTTGTTTTTCCAGCCTTTCATTTTGTTCATGACTAAGCTCTTGATATACCCAAACACTTGATTTTTTGATCTTCCTATAGCCATTGGTAGACCCAAGTATCTGCCACTCCCTGCTTCCCTCATGTTGCCTAGCTCTTGACACACTTTTTCTCTGACATGTGATGGAGTATTCCTACTAAAATACACGGCTGATTTTTCAAAATTTACCATTTGATCAGACATCTTGGCGTACTCCAGTAGGATATCCTTCACCTGCTTGGCCTCCTGGACTGTTGCTTTGCTGCATATTAATGAGTCATCTGCAAAGAATAAATGCGAAATTTGGGGCTTGCCTTTGCTGGCTTTGATTCCTGTGACATTCCCCTGGCTAATCTCCCTGTTGATCATATGAGATAATCCCTCTGCACAAATCAAAAAAAGGTAAGGAGAAAGGGGGTCTCCTTGTCTTAGCCCTCTACTGGTTTTGATGTATCCCACCCTTTCTCCATTCAGGTTAAAAGAATATGATACAGATGAAACACAGGACATGATCCAACGAACAAAAATAGGACAGAAACCCATGCACATCATCATCCTCCCTACAAACTGCCATTCAACCCTATCATAAGCTTTAGACATATCTAGTTTCAAGGCCATAAAACCTACTTTTCCTTTCCTCTTATTTTTAAGGTAATGCATGACTTCATGAGCAATAAGCACATTATCCATAATCTGCCTGCCAGGGACAAAAGCAGATTGAGATTCACTGATGCACCTATTAAGAACCATTTTCAGTCTATTAGCCAGAACCTTAGAGATAATTTTATACATAGTGTTGCACAGACTGATAGGCCTATACTGAGTCAAGTTTAGAGGGTTATCTATCTTAGGGATCAAAGTAATAAGAGTATCATTAAAAGCTCTCAGCATATTACCAGTATGGAAGAAACTGGTAACAGCATTCACCACATCAAGCCTGATTATATTCCAATACTTTTGGAAAAACAAAGGAGACATACCATCTGTGCCCGGAGATTTATTTGGATGCATAGAAAAGAGAGCTTTTTTTATTTCAGCTTCCTCCACTAGTTGTATCAGTCGCTCATTCATCTGTCTTGAGATAGTATTAGGAACATCTTGTGGCACTTCCACCTCCTCAGTGTTTTTGGTTGTGAGCATCTGTTGGTAATAGCTACATATCTCCTCCTTCATTTCTTGATCTGTACTACACCAGTTCCCATTATCTCGCTGCAGTATTGTGATTTTGTTCCTCTTCCTCGTAGCCATCACACTTGCATGGAAGTAAGCTGTGTTCTTGTCCCCCTCCTTCAGCCACCTGCATCTAGCTTTCTGACTCCAGTAGAGTTCCTCCTCCTTATATGCCTTGCTAAGCTTCAGCTTTAATTCTGCTATCTGGCCTCGTATCCCTTCTCCACTTTACTCTTTTATTTCCAGCAGCTTCTCCTTTACCTGTGTAATCTTCTTCCCAGAGTTCATCCTCAACTTTCTGTTCCATGCCAGCAGAGCCATTCTACATTCCCTTATCTTCCTCATCACTATGAACATCCTAGATCCTTTCTGTTCTATTTCCCATGCTGTCTTTATGATTCCTTTACTATCCTCATTTCTTGCCCACCTTAGATCAAAATAGAATCTCTTTTTTAGCTTCCTTTGATTGGGGTTATTATCCAGAATAAGAATGCTATGGTCTGAGGCTTCAGTTTCTTGATGATGACAGATTGCTTTAGCAAAAAGTTGGTACCAGCCCACTGATCCTAAACATCTATCAAGCCTCTCTCTTACCTCACCATCCCTTTCCCATTGATTACACCACGTCCATGGTTTCCCTTCAAAATCTATGTCAACTAACTCATTTTCTTTGATAAACCTGTTAAACTCTCTGAAACTCCCCTCAGTTCTTTCCCTCCGCCCCCCCCCCCAATTTTTCTTTTCCTGATCTGATGTCATTAAAGTCACCCACTAAAATCCAGTGGTCCCCCCATTCCTATTTTTTTTGTTCTATTTTCTTCCATTGCTCTTTCCTGGTGTTCTCCTCAGTACTAGTATACACCCCTACCAACCACCATTCACTCTTCGCCTCCAGATCCTTTATTTTTGCCTCTATGAAGAAATTTTCATGTCTGATAATATCCACCTGCACCTCTTCTTTTCAGAAAAAAGCCAAGCCACCTGCCCTTCCAACCGAGTCTACAGCATAGCAATGATCAAATTTTATCTGTCTCTTAACTTTTTCCATAACTATTTTTTGGTTTTTTGTCTCACATAAGAAAACAATACTTGGAAAGTGGAGATTTATCATCTCCTTCAACTGGGGAATTATCAAAGGTCCTCCCATACCTCGACAATTCCACACCAGCACCTTCATTTCCACTGAGGAGGCCTTATGGGGATGGCCTCCAATTCCCCTTCCTTTTTGCTTAGTTGACCCTCCTTCTTGATTAATTTCTGTAAAGGTTCCTCCCAATCATCCTCTTCCATTGGTTCCCCCTCATCCTTTTCCTCCCCCTTCTTCCTTTTTCCTCCTTGTACCACTTCCTGTATGTTTGTCTTCAATTCTCCTAATGGCGCTCTTTTAATTCTGTGGAAAGCCCATTGTTGTTTTCTTTTCCCCTCCCCCCTGGACCAGATCCCAGAGTCAACTTTCCTTGATCCTTTCCCTCCCTGTTCTCCTTTTTATTGTTCCATTGGCCAGGTGGGCTAGGGTTTTCAGTACTGACCTCATGGACCAGCTCCTCCGTATCCATGTTGGAGTCCTTAAAGCTTGGCTGACTCTCCCCCTCTATACGAGGTACTGGTTTCCCACCTGCAGTTGATTTTCCTTCTGTCCCTCCAACCTTATCCTTTCCTCCTTTTCCCCTCTATTGTTACTTCCCAGTATCTCCTCCCACTTTTCCCTTTCTTGTCCTACCTTCCTCTCTTTAACTCCCCCATCCCTACTTCCAAATCCGTCTGTTTGTCCTATTACTTCTTTTTGCCCCCTTGATTCCAGAACACCCCGTGGCGTAGATGATTCAATTTTCCCTTCCCCTAACTCTTTTGTCTGTGTTCTTAGCATCATTTCCTTCCCAGTTCCTTCCTTTAGAGGAGATATCATTATATTTCCAGCTCACATCCATGGTCCAAATTGGGCCTCTCTGTGAGTCTGGTTTAGATTCCCTTCCAATTTACACACCTTATCCCCATGACCTATCACCCCACATTTGTAGCAGAAATCGGGGCATCTTTCATACTTGAATTCCACCCAGACCACTTCCCCATTGAGTTTTACAGTGGTTCCTCTGATTAGAGGTTGTAGTAAGTCAACCTCAGCTGAAATCTTCATGTGCCTTCCGTCCTTCCCCCCACCTGGTGGCAGTATGACTTCATTCACTTTTCTGAATACCCTTCCAATCTTCAGGCCCGCTGCACTGCTCATCCAGTGGGTTGGTAAGTTCCAAATTTGCACCCATAAGGGCGAGAATCTGAAGCACTCAATATTTTTTTCAAAACCCGCACTCCATTCTCTAATCACTAGCACTTGATTGTCTAAAATCCATGGACCCCCTCTTTGTGCTTTTTCCCGTTCTGCCTCCTTCTCAAACTAAAACTGGAAAACATTTGGACCTATTTCCGTTACTCTTAGGTTTCTGGGGTAACCCCAGACATGATTGGTAAAATTTTTAACACCCGTGAAATTCGCTATCTTTTCCCCCATTATCCTTCCCACTAGGCTTCCTTTACAGTCCTGGACACTTACTTCCACATCCTCATCACTCAGATCTATTCCTTCTACCTCTCTCTCAGACAACTTAAACCTTTTCAACGCACTGACCAAGACCTCCTCCATCCCCTTTTGGAAGCTTCCTGATGTTCCCAATACTATCTTACGATGTCAGGAGCTACTGATCAACTTGAGGAAAAAGCCACAACCTTAAAACAGAAAGAGAAAAACTGAATAAAGACTATGAAAAAAACAAGAGCAAAGCACCCGAAAAATAGAGTAGAAAGGAAACAAACTAAAAAACAAGAAGATACAAGAGAACAAGAACCCCCCTCCCTTTACTCTAGTCCTTAGACCAGCAGAGGTCA